GTGACAATTTCCAACACAAATGGAAACTTTTCCAGTGATCTTCCTCTCTTTTGTTAACTGCACCTTAAAGGCCAGAAAAAGGGGTCTCCAAATGGATGAATGATAACAAAAAGCTATCTAGGGTTCACATTATTTAAAATTTTGAGGAGAAAAATGTTAAAAGAAACAACCCTCTCCTCAGGGATAACACAGCTCAAGCCACAAAATCATAACCTAGAATTAACTTCTGCTAACAACAATATATTTGGGTTAATTTTATTTTTCAAGAACACAGTCCGTGGGCTGCTGTTGTGCAAATCAGCTTTCCCAGAGCAAATAAAAGTCAAAAAAATAGTCTCAAAAATCATTTAAAAATGCAAAATAACATTTTTCTTTTCCATCAAGCCCTGTCTAAATAGCTGAGATGCACCACAATTATCAAATAAATGTCAAAGCAAGCAAAAAAGCTGAAGCAGCTACTCAGGGCTGGGAAAAATCAGCACTTCCAGTTAGATCTTGGCAGAGGTGGAAGCTGCAGAAGCTGAAATCTCAAGGGAGGGACTCTCAGGTTACCACAGAGCTGGGAAGTTCCTACCAATCCCACCTCCAGTAAAAGACTTACATGGGATTCCAGTGCATGGGGCTTGTTCTTGCCATCTGCCTGTGGGTGATTTGCATCCAAAGTGGTTACCAAAACAAATAAATGGATAAAAAAGGGGAAAAAATATTCTATTGCTTTCAGTCCTATGAAAACTATTACTGAGGTAATGGAACAAGTTACCCAGAGAAAAGTTGGAGAGTAAAAACTGATCAACTAAGTTCACTCCCCATGCCTGTCTTATAATTAACAGCAAAATATGCAGGGAATGCATTGTTAAGTTTGGGTCCTGTGCTACAATTTTTTCCCTCCATAAATTGTTCTAAGGTTAATTTGAATAATATACTTGAAAAACACATAATTGAACACACTTTATTTTTAGTCCTATGGTATAAATATATTTGGATACATTTTGAAAGCTGCAAATGAAATATTCCTTCATTTGTACTTAGAGTCTTAAAATCAGTTTGGGGTAGGCAAAAATGATGATACCTAATATGCTTACTCAGTATCAATTCTATCTATGGAAAAAAAAACAAGGTGTGTGCACTGAAAATACTGCAGAGAGAAGTGTTCCTTGAAATACTTTTTGAGGTATCACACAGAATCATGGAATATTTGAGTTGGAAAGGGCTCTAAAGATCATTTATTTCTGACCCTTCTGCCATGAGCAGGGACACCTTTCACTAGACCAGGCTCTGTGCACCCTGGCCTTGGACACTTCCAGGGATGGGGCAGCCACAAATTCTCTGGGAAAACACCTCTAGCTGACAGAAGTATGAACTCAACACTCAGGAACAACACCAAAATCAATAATTCTTGTTATAAGACAGATTTTATGATTTTAAATGCCATAACAAACTCGTGGGACAGCACCCTGCCAGGTGCTGGAGAGCATCCCCTGGCAAGGATTCATTGCTTACCGTGCACTTGGAGCCAAGGAATGGGGCTCTGCTCATCCAAGACATGGAGAGTTTGCTTGATCCTTGGAGATGTAGGGATAGAAACATCTCTGCTCTGTTTCTTCCTTTTCAGCTCCCATCTTTGGTATAGTTACGGAAACAGAATAAAATAAAATGGTGCAAGAAGGTAATAAAAAGGCAATTTTGCTTCCTGATGGCAAAAGGCCAGAGAGCACTGCCCATTCAGACCTGTCTTTTCTGCTCCTGTAGGACAAGACAGCCTTAGGGAGGACGAAATGGTCACCAAAGCTCTTCCTAGAGGTGGGAAAAGGATAGGTTAGGGTGGTTTTTTAGGGTAGACTAGAAAGCTCAGAAAATCATAATTTTCACTGATTTAAACCCACTATATTCAAAAGATATTTTTTTAAAAAAAGCATCTAAATATTCTGTTGTTATTTCTTCTGTCCCTAAGAAGAAATAGAGAATTACAAAAAACAAACCAACCAAACCAACCAACCAACAACAACAACAACAACAAAATCAAGTTGAGTTTAATTGCTGCTTTATACCCAAGTTGTAATGAAGCCCAGGGAAAGGCATTAGGGAGGGGAGAGAGGCAGTTCAGGAGCAGCTTTGGGCCCCTTCCCCCTCCTTCCCCCCACCCTCCCCTGCACAAGGTGTGTGACATGATCCCAGTTTTGTAGGAACGAAAGAGAAAAGGCTTTTTTTAAAGCAGCTTTGCAGCACTCGGGGATTGCTGATACCAATATCCTCCTCGAAAGCTCCGCCGCGTCCCCCCTTCGCCAAGGCAACCTTTCATTAATTTAGAAAGTATGAGCTCATTAAGCAATTCTGCTCCAAAGTTCCTGGAGTTGAAAAGCCAGGGAATTTCCCCAGGTTCTCAAAACCTTTTGTCAAAAAAAAAAAAAAAAAAAAAAAAAAGCCAAGTTGCTCCATATTCCTCTTTAAACAAATAAGGTTAGCTCCCCTTTTGCCATTCACAATTCAACATTCCCACTAAATTAATTTTTCCAAAAGTAATTCAAATAAAAGCTTTGCTGCTGCTACCCTTTTCAGAGCTGCAAGATTGAATAAGGCATCTGAATAAAATTGTGTATTACAGCCTTCTTTAATATTTAAGCATGACATTCATTGATTTGTTTCTTGTTTTCTGCAAACCTTGACAACATGATAAAATAAATCATAAGAAGAAAATATAGTGGTAACATCTTTTATGGACTTCACATAGTCATCAATCTCAAGCTGTGAGTGAATTATCAGTGCAGCAAAAAGATCTATGTTTTAAGAGCTCCAATAGCACACTAGCTAGAGGTTTTTCACAAGCAAACTCAAGGCGAGTGACTGATAAGCATCATTATTGTTTTCTGAGAGTCTAGTTTATAGTGTGTTGTGGAGGTGTTGGCATATATGTTTCAGAAGGAAAGGTTTGATCAATTCTAAGTAGACATCTACTAACATATAAAAAATATAACAAGGGTTCCTGCTGAGCAGTATTAAAGTACCTATTGCACCATGTCAGCATGACAGGCCCCATGTTGTGTTTTTGATTATATTTAATATAGAATTAACCTTTCTTAATGTAACATATTGTGCATGCAATGGGAGTGAAAAATATTTATTTTGACCAAAAAAAAAAACCCCAAATATCATCCTTATTTAGGTTTTAAGGAATACTTCTTTATTTTCAATTTATAAAACTTCTCATCATAAAATCGTCGCGGCCCCGAACTGACAGAAAGGAATAAAAGCTTTTCTTTCCCTGTGGTTTGTGAGCTATGGAGGGAAGAAGCCATTGGGGGCATTGGGGGCAGCTGGGAACAACCATGGGGCAGAAAACAGGGTATTTCAGCAAAATCCAGGGAGACATCCTGTTGGAAATACCAGAAAGACTCCAACACTCTCCAAGCTGCTGATTTCAGAGGTCAGCACGATGATGGGGATGCACATACCCAAAAGTGGGATCCTTCTGAAAATAATAGGGCTGAGGGGATGGTCTGGAATAATCAAAGGCTGTGAGGAGAAATGTGGAATTAATTCAAAGGGGTAAAGCAGCTGACACTGCTGCATAATGAGGTTATGGAAAGGTATCATCGTTTTGCTGTGAAAAATGCCCCTCCCGAAAGTAACTCTTTCAACAGACTTACAAATGTTTTATATCTGGTAAATGGGCTAATGAAAGCTTTAGGTTTAGAAAGCAGTAGCCTAGGGATTGTAAGAGTAAATATTAAGATGTTTTCTGACAAGCTGAATATATGTGGTTTCCCACAAAATCCCACAGTGCTTTGCACTCCATAAATATCACTCCTCTTCCCTCACAACTTTTACTATATGAAATATGAAGCCGCCGTCCACTAAAACATCGCTGTACTTTGCTTGGGCTCCAATCTCAGGCACACATTTATTTACATAGGTTGAACAGCATTCATCACCCCTGTAATTAATGCAGTCAGTCATGAGGGTGTGAAGTATTTCCTTTGCCATCCCGTGGCAAAGCGGGACACTGGACTTTTCACACAAATGAACACAGAAATCCCCTCAGTTAAAAGAAAAAAAAAAATCAACTTTTAGAGGCCGCTGTAGTTTTGTGTTGATTGGAGGGTGACAAATTCATTGGGCCAAATCTTCAAACTAATTTGCAGGTAATATAACAGCTAAATGGTGGCCAGTAGGCTGAGGATTTGGTTGGGTGGGGATGCTCTGAATTATTTATAGTCCAGGGTGAAATCACTGTCTCTTTAGGGCTTAGTCCTGTAGGCTCTGTCTGGGCGATGCTGTGGACTGGAAGAGGAGACACAATTCCTTCCTCCATGTGAAATATTTAATTTCAATGCCAGCTTTTAGCTACCAAGATTCTATTAAAATTATGAGAATGGCAGAAAATGGAGAAAGGAGGAATATGGGCAACACCACCACCTCATCAAGAGGTGATTCAGCTAATAGACTGCATAAGATCCATAAAAAGAGGTAAATATTATTTATATCCATTTTCTTGTTTTGTTGAAATAGCTGTCTGAAAGTTAAGCTTGAAGCAGAGCTCTGGTTCGCTCTCCTCAGGTTATCAGAGCAAGGCCTGCTCAGTAGCAAAATTCACAATCTCCAATGACATCCAAGCTCTGCAAAATGCTTAACTTGGTAAGTGGGGAGATTTTCTTGTAAATTCAATTTTTCTTGTAATTCAATACCGCACCAGAGGTCTCACTTGATGGAAAAGAGGCTCTGTGCTCCTGGAGTGTTTTACAAATATGTAAATATTATACCTAAGCTGCCCCTGCTAATTAAATATGGCACTTTACACAAGCATATTGTTTCCAGTCTCAATGTTCTGGCTTAAATCCATCATCAGTAATTACGTCGTGTCCTTTTAAATTCTTTGCTGCTTTAATTAGCTAAATTATTCTACTTCACTTCCTGTCCCAAACTTCCAGGCAGTGCTGGAGACCCGTCTCTGTGGCTCCTGGGTTGTGTCTGCAGTGGTGGCATCATCACTCATCCGTGGGGAGGTGGCAACTCCACAGTGATCCGTGGTTCTGGAGTCCTGTCCCTGGATTATCACAACTTACTGAACACGTAGTAAGATTTTATGCTTTTATATATATATATCTTACTTACGTTTTTCAAAGCAATTTTATATCATCTCTGCTTTCCTCAAGTGTCTATAATTCATAATAAATGTAATTAATAGTGTTAAACCTCCTACTTTAGCTAAAAGAAGTAATGACCTCATAGAAGTAAGAAAAAAGGTCATCAAAACCATCAGACTAAGCAAAATAAATAAGGAATTAATACCTGTTAAATCCAAAAATGCTTGACCAGAAGAGCACACTGGGCATTTCTGAAGATCCAAGACTGCTCGGAGCTCAAAATTATTAACTTCCAGTTATTTGGATATTAAATTGATGGGTCTCAGGAACATGTGACAGTACCACAGATGAGAGAAACTTGTTCAACTCCAAGAGGATTTCTACTATTAATAAAGATAAAGTAGGGACAAGGTAGGAAGGGAGTGAGCTGCAGTTTAATATACTTATCCTATGAATATTTCTATAAAATCTGTTCAAATTTTTAGTGAAACAAAGTCCTGAATGGAAATAGAATATTTATTTTCAATACCAGCTTTTAGCTACCAAGATTCTATTAAAATTATGCTGGAGAAAAAAAATTAAAGATATGTATCTTGCTAATAAAAATGCACTTTTTTGATGGATGTTGCGGAAGCAGAACCTCCTGTAAATTAGGTCACTTTGACAGTAAACCATCTCCTGAACTCCTTTGTGGGAATTATGTAGGAAACAGGTTTTCTTTTCAAATCTTAATATAAAACTTGGGAAAAGAATAAGTATTCCACCTTATTCACATTCATAAAAAAAATCATAATGTAGCATCAATATTCACTTAATAAAGAGACCATTTACACTGCTGGGCTACTGTTCTTTTGTTTGCCAGGGTTGGATTTTTTTTTTTTTAATCATATGGAGGAGTCGGTGCAGCAACATCTGTGACTTGTCAGTCATTTAATTAACCAAAGAAAAGCTAGCTATTCATTTTATTTCTGTATATGTTAATGCTAAAAACTAATAGAAAACAGCTAGTAAATTGTCCTCTGCATATATTGGACACAGCAACAATTACTCTGGCAGAGAAGATATAATAAAAGAGGAAATTTTAATAGTATTCTTATTCTATTTATTCTCAGGGGCTTCTGTTTCAAGGTACTGTAGAAATTAACAATTATTTCTTTTCATTGTTTTTGATGATCTTTTTCTATTATGGCCCTATCCGACTTCAAATAAAATATAATTTGAACTTTCGTTTTTGTATTAAATTTTCTGGGGCATCTTGAGATTTCCTTTCTGGCTGGTTATGGGGAGGTCCTGAGAAGGTTCAGAAAAATAAGCAGCAACTGTTTCTTTCAGACAGCTGGTTAAAGCATGTCAGTTATTAGTACAATCAAGATAACTCAGCTTAAACTGAGGACTTTCACGTAATACAATAATTTACTTTTCCAGCATTCATTTTATTGACAAATATGTCTTTCCCATATTTTCGGAATGTCTGTCATATGATATGTCTAAATACTTGCTATTGCTCTGCTATATAAAGCAATTAACTGACTTTATACAGCAAATTGTCAAAGGATTTCCCCCGAAAGCTTGGGGAAATCTAACATACGGAACTATTCTCCAATTTATTGACATGCTACGATGGTGAAAAAAGTAGGACATCAATAAACAGCTTTAGCTGGAAAACTGGAATCTGATTATAAGTATTGGGAGCTGGAGACCAGAGCCTCAATTAAAATACATGGCATGGCTTTATTTTAAAATAGAAAGGTGCTATATTTTAATGGGGGAAAAGGCAGGGCTTGGTGAAGTGTAGGAATGCAGCAGTGTGGAGTTTTACACCCAAAGTGTCCCATGGGTCTATCTGAACTGGAAGCAGGTTCAGCTCCTCATCCCAGACCATTCCTCTGGCTCTGGGAAGCGCAGGGAAAGTATCTCGTGTCTCTGTCAAGGGCAGAGTGATGGGGTGACAGGAAAGCTGGTAAAACCATACAGGACTGGCCCTGGATGGACTTTTCACCCATAAGGAAAGACCTTCTACTTACAGCAGAGTCCAAATACCCTAAAACAGCAGGTTTGGACATTTTGGTCTAAGAAAAACAATCAAAGCCTAACCATCTGGGTTTTATACAGCAGATATTGATTAGGATTAAAATAAACTCCATAAGAATGTAGATTAAATAGATGAATAAATTGTGGAGCACTCAAAGGAATCTCCAAAAGTAGCCTGAAATCTATGTAATATAAGAATATCAGAATCATAGGATCATTAAGGTTGGAAAACACCTCCAAGATCAATCTAGCCTTTGAGTGAGTACTACCAAAAATTCAGGAACAGACTAAAAATAAAGCAAATCACAGATTTTACAGGATCAACCAGGAAACAAAAAAATAGGGGAATAAAAAAAAAAAAAAGAAAGAGATATGTTTCAAGAAGTTAATTTTTTATAAAGTGAAGGGAAATTTCCTTCCTGAGTCTTAGATTCACTATTTTTTAGCAAAACAGCTTGTGCTGTGCCACTGGTGATACCTCACCTACAGTGCTGAGAGGACAAGGAAAGGATGCTGAGACTGGCTGGGAATAATTGTTTTGTTAACAAATTATCTGCCTACACACAGTTCTTACACCTGTGTAACCAGAGTTTTTCAACACCTTTTTCTGGTCTTTCCTTTCATGTCACTGCTGATTTTTACATTTATTTGTACCTTGCTTTTGTCTGCAAGCTCTTTTGTTGAATTTTGGGGTTGGTTTGGATTCCACTAGCATGGAAGGAGTGAGAGGAGCTTGATCTTGGAATAATACGAAAAATAAAGAGGAAAAAAGAGGAGGAAGAAATTCCAAAATGAGCTGTAGCTGTTCCTTTGGAAGCAACCCCCTCTGATGAAATGCATTTGTATGTGTCAGGAGCCCAGTGCCACCTTCACTGTATTGTTAATATTCTGGTTATCATGCAAGGAGTCATTGATGAACAAGTTTAAGCAGTGTGCAAACAACGTTACCTGCTGGGAAGTGTTAAGGTACCCATCATACCATGTCAACTTGACAGGCCTCATGTTGTGTTTCTGATTATATTTAGTCATATAAAATTAACTTTTCCTAATGTAACGTGTTGGGAAGGCGACGTGGACACAACAAGAGTTATTTAGGCTCAAACCTATTTGTATTCAGATTTACTAATGAGAATCACAACCTGATCAAAACCCCCAGCTCATTTAACGCATTTATGGAGTGACAGGGCTGGAGAGCCTCGAGCCCTAATCCATGTGAGAGGTGATAAAGCAGGAGGGCTTTGCTGATATTCCTGTTGTCCAGCAGTGCCAGCTCTGAGCTCCACACAGCTCCTGTCTGTATACAGCAAGACTGGAGCTGTCTCTGACTTGTTTGGTGCTGTGCTCACATCCAGGTGGATTTTTTAGAGTTATTTAGCATATTTTTTAGGAAATGACAGTGGCTACTGCCAGCTCCCAGTCATCTTTTCTTTCTTTTTTATCCTTTTTCCTTTTTCCTTTTTCCTTTTTCCTTCCCTTCCCTTCCCTTCCCTTCCCTTCCCTTCCCTTCCCTTCCCTTCCCTTCTTTTTTTCTCTTTTTCTTTTCTTTTTCTTTTCTTCTTTCTCTTCCCCTTTCATTTTTTTCCTTTTTATTTATTTTTATGACAATCTTTTGGATTTTTTCAGGAAATAATAATATCCCAAGCCAAAGGAAAAACCAGACCAGAGGAGTTGGTACTACATTCCCTTTCCCTCAAAGTAGTGGCTAAACCAGTCTGAGAGTCATCAAAGAGCTTTGATTAAGATAAAAGAAAAAAAATATCAAATATCTAAACCAACCAGCAAAATCTACCAGCACTCACAGGCAGAAGCTTTGGTTCCCTTTTGGTTTTTACCATTGCAAATTCAAGGTTCAGTGCCCCTTCCCTGCCCACTGGCTGTTGGGCAAAGGACCAGGATTTATTAATTATTGGAAAAGCCAAGAAGGGGGCCTTCCTAATTAAAGTCTCAGTGTGCAACTGCTCATTTTCAACTCCTTGCAAGCTCGCTGTACCTGTGTCTGCTCAGATGGCACTCAACCCTCAGCCTGAAGCTGGAGTCTTGGAAATTTGGGGGGGGGGAAATGCAATAAAAAAAAATATTCAGCTGCTTGTGCAGAAAAAAAGGAAGCTGAAAAAGAGTTCAATCATCCAATTCAGTGAAGAGGATGATACAAAAATACCTTTTTTTAATTAATGTTGTTGAGGCTTAAAGGATGAAATTTGGCATGGAAGCCTTAGATGAGAGGAAACAAAATGACTGATTTATGGAGAATTGAAAATTGCTTCCCACACTGGCTCATTAATGGCTAAATTGGGCTAAATTTGGCTTAGTCCTCATGCAACAACATTCCATTGCTGTGGAATACTCTGGATGTCCAGCCATGCAACCTCTGAATTTCTAGCACCATTTAAAGGTGCATGAAACTCATAATTACTTTGGAAAATATAATAATTAAATACATTAAAGGAATATTCTTCATGTGAAATGTAGGCAGCAAACATGACCTTGGGAGATGATCAGGATCTGGGGCAACATTTTTCTTTATGACCAAGACTTTCAACAACAGTTTTATAAGAAAAAGAATTATTTTTTAAGATAAAGAACAAATTTTTAAGAAAAATTGTATTTCTTCTTATCCTTGCATTACAGTGACAGCAAAAAATGACAGGTTTTTGTCACTTTAAATGATTTTGCCATGAAGTAAATCCCCAATTTACAAAAGTTTAGGACATCAGTGGGAATAAAAGGTTCTGCTGTTTAATTAAAATGTACTTCATGGCTGGAAATCAGCATTCAAAGTGCCCAGAACTTACAACAGCGGCAACAAACGAGTTTGTGCTTTGTGCTGCGATTTACTGCTCCAGCTCTGCCTTCAGCCTGCCTTGTGATGTTGCAGGGAACGGGCTGGAAATTAAATCCATGCCTAATATGCTTAACTTGTGCAGGCAAATGAAAGAGCACCCGCTCCATTCTCCGGGC